TCGTTGCTGCTTCTGGCCAGCATCTCGGTCACACCTCAGGCCAGCCTCTTTCCCCCACCCTTGGAAGGTTAAGAGTTCATGCCTTCCTGGAGCTCTCAGTCAAGGGGTGCTCAGATAAGAAAGCCAGCCGTGATGACAGGTGAGGTCAGCAGCTGGTCCCCGCCCCTATATCTCCCAGCATCAGGCTCACACTTGCCCTGTGGCCCCCTTATCCATCCATCAGGAAGTCAGCCAGCAGCCGGATGTCAGAGTTCACGTGTTTCAAGCTGCACCAGCAGCCCCCAGCAGGCCCCCAGCAGCCCGGAGTCCTTGCTCAATCACCCAGCCCCCCTGAAGGAGGACAGGATGGACCAGGGTTTGGGGCCTGGCTCCATCTATATGTTTTTAAAACCCGTCAGAGACAATGACGTAGGTTCCTAAGTCACAGCTCTAAAAGCGTCGTCTTTGCTTTCTTCAGCCCAGCGTGTGCTGGCGTGAGTCAGCCACCTGTGATGGATTCCGTGCTGAGGGGGTGTGGGTCACTGAGTCACAGCCTCAAGGGGCAGCAGCGGGTGGCAGATGTGCGGGCGCCAGCCTCCTTGACTCACCTAACTCTGGGAGCGTGAGGCCCAGACTCCAAACCCAGTTCTGAACTCCACCCACGGCCCTGTCCATGGGAGGCCCCATGTCACTGCATAGAAAAACTCTGAAGGATGTACACCGGATGCTATTTGCTTCTTACTTCTGGGGGCGGTAGGCAATGGGGACTTTAGTTCTGACTTTATCACATGGATTTTTTTTTTTTTTTTTCTTTTTTTGCGGTACACGGGCTCTCACTGTTGTGGCCTCTCCCGTTGGCGGAGCACAGGCTCCGGACGTGCAGGCTCAGCGGCCGTGGCTCACGGGCCCAGCCACTCCGCGGCACGTGGGGTCTTCCCGGGCCGGGGCACGAACCCATGTACCCTGCATCGGCAGGCGGACTCTCAACCACTGCGCCACCAGGGAAGCCCTATCACATGGATTTTTAATAGTGAAAATATATCCAGGTATTATTTATATAAGTAAAAATGAAGTTTAAAGTATTCTTAGAATACAGTAGGGTTTTCCCCACACCCTGCCCATGTACATGCTTGTTCCCTCTTCTGGGAGGGTTCTTGTCTCTTGGCTCAAACATGTTCATCCTGTAAACCCAACCCAATAACACCTGCCGTCGGCTTTGTATTCACCTCATTTAGTCCTCCCATAACCTGTTTTGGTTATTATCCCCATTTTCTTGATGGGGAAACTGAGGCACAGAGTGGTTAATGACCTTGCCCAAGGTCCCACAGCTAGGAAGAGAGGACGGACTGGAGCCTGCATGTGGCCCTCACCTGCTACTCTACCACGGGTAATTGGGCCCCTGAAGTGGGCAGTGCTATCCCTCCAGGGAGATCTTGCCGAGCTGTTGTTTCTGTTCACCCCATCCAGACCCAGCAGGTTGCCCCCTCTTCCAAGCAGCCCATGACACACTTGACTGTGAGCTCACTGAGCCTGGGCCATGCCCTGTTAGCCTGTACCTCTCACATCAGTCCTAAGCTTAGGCCCTAGTGAAGACATTAATATTCCTGCAGGAAACCCACAACTTTGTGTCTGAGACAGGCGTGCTTACAAAATAAGCGGATGCTAAGCCGTAAACCTTATTCCTTCCTCTAGTGCAGCTCGTTAAACTTTTGTTGAGCTGGAATAAAATAAACCCTGAGTTTTTCAGTGTGGTGTTTGGGGCCTTTGCTAAACAGCCCCACCTCCCTCTTAATGCCTCTTTGTTTCCTGCTGTGGCCACTCCCCCAGGCCTCTCTTTTATTCGGGGTTCAGTAATACCAAACTCTTCTTGTTTCTTACACATGCCCACCAACTGGGCAGTTTCTGATCTCCATACTTGTTCATGCCGTTCCCTCTGCCCAAATGCCTTTCCCCTTATTCCTGAGTGATGCAGACTCATCTTCAGAGCCTTAGCACAGGGTGTTCTTTCCCCTGAGAACACCCACAGCTGCGTTGGGGGCCCTCCCCCGTGGCTCCCACAGTCTTTGCATCCCTCTGGTCCAGTGTAGGTCATGCAGTCTCATTTTCTGTTCCAAGTCTGTGTCACAGCAGGCCAGGGGCTCATCCAAGGCCAGGCTTTCGTCTGGATCATTTCCCAAGCTTTGCACCTCCTGAAAGGCTGGCTCCACGTGGCCATCAGCCCAGGGCCGCTGAGGTAAAGGGCCGTGGGTTTTTTGTTTTTTGTTTTTTGTTTTTTTTTTATTTATTTTTGGCTGCGTTGGGTCTTTGTTGTGGTGCGCGGGCTTGTCATTGTGGTGACTTCTCTTGCTGTGGAGCACGGGCTCTAGGCGCGCAGTCTTCAGTAGTTGTGGCACACGGGCTCAGTAGTTGTGGCTCGCAGGCTGTAGAGCACAGGCTCAGTAGTTGTGGCACGGGGGCTTTGTTGCTCCGCGGCATGTGGGATCTTCCCGGACCAGGGCTCAAACCCGTGTCCCCTGCATTGGCAGGAGGATTCTTAACCACTGCGCCACCAGGGAAGTCCGATGGCCGCGGTTTTGACAGGTGACCGTAGCAAGTTTCTTCACTGCTCTGAGCCTCAGTTTCCTTTTCTGTAAAATGGGAATTACCAGGTGTCAAAGCCAAAAGTGCTGTTTTAAGGATTAATGTCATTTACTCATTCTTTAATTCATCCCCTACATATTTATTAAGCACCTGCTCTGTGCCAGAGCCCGGGGAATACAGCATCAAATCAGACAAAACCCCTGCCAGCAAGGAGCTTATATTCTCGTGGGAGGACACAGATGAGAACAAGATGAGGATAAGATGGTGGGTGATGCTGAGTGCTTTAGCGACGTAAGGGGCTTGGGGGATGTGGGGGTCAGTCAGGCTCCAGAGCAGAGGCCTGAGGGAGAGCCATGTGGAAAAGGGCTCCAGGAAGGGGGCGCAGGCACAAAGGCCCGAGGACCACACTGGCACTGTTTGCCGTCGCAGCAGGAGGCCAGCGTGGCCAGAGGGAGTAAGCAGAAGAAGACGTGAGGATGTGGCTTCAACTCAAGAGAAGGGAAGCCTTGGAGGGTCCTGGGCAGAGGGGTGACGGGATCAAACATTGGGTTCAAAAGGCCCCCTCTGGCTACTGTTGGGGAAAGGCCTGAGGACCCCAAGGGCAGAAGCCCGGAGCCCAGTGGGGAGGCTGCCGCCTTGTCTGGTCTAGGGAGGCAGTGGAGGCTTGAGGGCTCAGAGGCTGGGCGTCTCGAGGGTGGAGGTGACAGCATTTCCTGATGGGTGGGACGTCAGTGTGAGAGAAAGATGGGGCCAGGATGACACCAAGGGTTGGTCTGAGCAGCTGGGAGGAGAGAGGCCCCCGGAGACGCTGTGGAGGCCTCATCAGCGCCGTTCCCTGAGTAGACATTCATTCAGTCACTCTCGCTGGCTGCTCTCTGCACAGCCCCGAGACCCAGGGAGGAAAGTGGGCTGCTGTGGTCTTGCCTTCAAGGAACCCCCAGTCTAGGGTGATGGGGCAGATTGGGGCGGGTGATCGTGTTGACCTGGAGTTCAAGGAAGCTTCGTTAGTCTGCAGGCGTAAAGGTCATTCCCCGACCCCCCGGGGGGGAAACAGCCGGGAAGCTGATGGTGGGCAGCTGCCTTTTCGAGCCGTGGTCTTGAGCCAGGCACCCAGCTATGTCCTTCACATGCACCCTCCCACCCACAGCCCCAGCAGTCCTCTCGGGTAGCCACTGTTGACACCCCCTTTCCACAGACGAGGAACCAGAGGCTCCTGCCAAGTTCCACTGCCGGGAAGTGGCCAAGCTGGGATCCAAATCCAGATCTGCCTGACCCCAGGGTGAAGCCCTGCACCCCACCCCCTGGGGCAGCCGACCCAACTCCTAAACTTTCCGTCTCTCCCCCAGGTCCCGGGCAACTTCCACGTGTCCACACACAGTGCCACAGCCCAGCCACAGAACCCGGACATGACCCACGTCATCCACAAGCTCTCCTTTGGGGACACGCTGCAGGTGAGAGGGGCACAGATGAGGTGGCTGGAGGTGGGCGTCCAGGGGCTGCATCACCAGAGCCTTCTGTCCTCCCTGGACATAGAGAGATGCCCTCCGGAGGGGTCATGCCCTTCGAGCCTCTGCTCCATCAAACAACCCCTCTGCCTCACTTCTGAGCATACGGCTGCCGTGTCATCAACGTTGCACTCAACTTGGAACCTCGGCTTGAGACCGGGGCCTGGGGGAGGGGACTGGCATGCATGAGCAAGTACTAAGTGCTCGTGCTTTCTCTGTGCCAGGGCAGCCTCATGAGGCAGGAGGCGGCACCGCGTCTTACAGACCTGGAGCTGGGCGCAGAGAAGCCATTTGTCCAGGGCCCCCCAGCAGGCGTCTGCCTCGCGTCCAGTGCCCTGTCCGCTGTAACGTCAGCGCCCATGTCCATTGAGTAGGCGTGAAGGAAGTGTCCTGAGACTCCCTGTTGTGATTTTCATGGAGAGGGCCACGTCCAGTAGGCCCGGCCCGACAGTTTCCTCCCCATGGCAGCAGACGCTGACCGCCTGATCTCTGCCAGCTGCGGGCAGGGCAGCTGTGAGGTTCCATCTCTCCTCCACCCCCAGCAGCACAGTGCTGAAGGGGAATTGTGCCACACCCTGCATGACAGAGGGAATCGAGGCTCAGAAGGGGAAGTAACCGCTCCAGCTGTGGTGCTGGCATGGCGACCCGGCTCCTGACCCCAAGCCTAGCTTGATGAGAATCCTGTTTCCTAGTTGAGGTTGCTGGGTGGGTGCCCTCCAGGCACAGTGAGCTGTGCACGGGGCCCTCGCAGGCCCACAGGCACACGCATACACACTGTTCCGACACCGTGTGCACACACGTCTGCTCAGACTCACGCACACAATCATGAGACACACACCGAAAAGTGTGCCCTGACATACATGTGCTCATACATGCTCCCTAAGACCACCCACTGGACACACACACACACACACACACACACCACCCAGAGATACACACAGGCCCACCCGGCTGGGACATCTCACATACAGACCCAGAGGCACACACGTGCCTGCGCTGCTCCGCGCCCCCCGCCCCCCATACATGCTGCATACGTCCGTGTGCCGCTGATGCTGGTTGAACGCTTTGTGCGTGCCGAGCACCGTACTTCACAAGCACGATCCCCTTTTACCCTCTCAGCAGCCCCAGAGGTAGATACAATATATTGTCTCCATTTTTCAGATTAGGAAACTGAGGCACGGAGAGGGTAAAGCCTGGTGCAGAGCCTGGGTCTGAATCAGAGTCTGGCTTCGGGCCGCACCGCGGGGACTGCCTCCCGTGCCCTCTCTCACTCCTTTCTCCCTTTGTGTTGCTTATGCTTCCTTCCCGGGGCACCTTTGCCCAGCCCAAGTGACCCGGTCATCGCCTTCCCAGCCTTCCTGGAGGCCCCAGAGAATTTCCTCTGGGAGACGGTGCTTGGGAACAGAGAAGGCCCAGTCTCCCTGGGCCAGACTTGCTGTCTACACACTCAGTGAAGCACGGCCTGCCCTGGGACTGTGGACTCACTTCCTGCAGGTGAATTCACACAGGCTTGACACGCACACCTCCCATCTCTCCATCCAAGGGACTGCTGTGTGGACGTTCCCCAGCCTGTCTTGCTGGGTTCAAATCCTGGCTCCACCACTTACCAGTTGTCTGATATTGGAGAAATTATTTAGTCTTGCTAAGCCTCAGTTATCTCATCTGTAAAATGGGGACAACAGTTGTACCTGCCTCATAGAATTGCAGTGAAGATAAAATGAGTTAATGCACGTGAAGCTCTTAGAACAATTGCCTGGCACAGAGTAACCGGTCAGTGAAATGAGCTGTGGCCATTGTAGTTGTCCTCTGTGCTCTCATTCTGCACCAGGCCCTGCAGGGTAGGATGCTGCTGGCCCACAGGGGCTCACACGGCCATGGGGGAGACAGACGTGGGATGCTCACCACCCCAGTGGGACGGGAGCTGAGAAGCTACAGGGGCCCCCATATATGAGCGCTGGGCAGCACCCCAGTTGCCTTTGCAACCCACCAGCTCAGCAGATCCTCGACACAGCCGGGGAGGCAGGCACTGTGAACCCCAGTGTGCACATGGGGAGGCTGAGACCGGAGTCACGACCCAGGGCCGTGCAACTCACTGGCAGCACCACCAGAATCCACACTCCTTCCTCATGGGAACTTTCAACCTCTTCAGCCTGCACTGAAGCCTGCACTTTCTCACCTAGAGAGCAGTGTTTAGATGACCCTCTGTTTAACCCTCGCAAGAACTCCCTGAAGGATGCTGGGTGGCATTTATTTTTCCTGAGGAAGAAACAGGGTCAGAGAAGTTCAGTAACTTGCCCAGAGTCATATAGCTTGAAAACCAGGTGTGTCTGGCCCCGGGTCTTCTTTGACTGTGCCTCATAGGTTCATGGATTCATCAGACCCCCTCAAAATTTCTGCTCTGCGCCAGGCTCTGTGCAAGGCTCTGGGGTAACAGCGGTGGATAAACCATACAGGATTCTTGCCCTCAAGTGAAGAAGAGATTAAATGTAAATAAATGTAGTTACAAGGGACAAGAGAAGCATAGGATTCGGGACAGTGATGTGGAGGCGGGGGCGAGTACCCCCAAGCCTGGGAGGTCAGGGAGGGCTTCCCTGAGGAGGTGACATCTAAGGTGACATCTGACCCACGCGCTAAAGGGTGAGAAGGATCTAGCCAAGCACAGGACAGGGAAGTCTTGCATATCACCCCTGTCCTAGAGAACCCACTCTGTGGCACATCCAACCAGTCATTTTCATAGAAAAGACCCTCAAGGTCACTTTCAGAAAAAATGGATCAGCAAGTGTCCATGACATCAGAATGATGTTCTGTACATGAGATTCCAGAGGCTCATCAGAGTCAGCAGAGAGGGCTCAGCAGTGTCCATCTGGAGGGGGGAGCAGAGTTTTAGGTGGAGCGAGAGACCCACGATAGGTTTAGGAAGGTGGGGGCTGACCCAGGCCGGTGGGTGTCATAGAAAGAGCACCCACCTGCCACGTGGAAGACGGGCCGTGAGGCAAGGCTGCAGGTAGGGAGGTGAGGAAAGGGCTACGGCCAAGGCCAGGGGACAGGAGGAGAAGAGAGGAAGAAGAGGGGCAGCCTTGCATTGCTGTCTGCTGCTATAGAACAGGACAGTAATAGCCTTCCGCTTGGCCCTTATGGCGGAAATAGGATTTTTTAAAGATGTAGACCACTTAGCTGAGGATTTATCTATCCATCCACCATCCAGTCAACAAGTAATTATTGAGCACCTACTATGTGCCAGGTCTTGCACATATCGGTGAGGATGAGCGTGGTCCCTGCCCACGTGAAGTATTGTATAGTCTAGAGGGGAGGACAGACATGAATCAGATAATCGTACAGATGAATGTCAGATAAAACCCTGGCATGCAACGATGTGAGGGACTATTCTAGCACTCTTGCCTCTGCAGCCACTGTCCTCTTGGGTTAGAAACCAAGTCTTTAGACAGTCAATCCCGAGGCAGCAATGGACAAGCTTTCCTCTGAGCTTCTTAAGAGTGTGCAGTTGTGTTAAGTGCTCGATGGACATCAGCGACCTGAGACCAGGATCAGGGTCAGGTCACCCACTGTTCCTGGAGTGGCCCTCGCTGCAGGAGCCTGTCCCCTCCTACCTCTCTGACCTCTTCCCTTTCCACTCCTCACTCCCTTCCTCTCTAGGGCTTCACGGGCTCTGTTTCTCAGTCTCCAGACTCATGTGTTTGCATGAGCTACTGGCGTGATTAACTTCCCACTTTCCTACAAAGCTTGGTGTCAGTGGTACTTCCCCCAGGAAGCCCTCCAGGATGCCTACCCCAGCAGCCCCTGTTAACCATGCCCATGATGACATGCTCCATGTATCGGGCATACTTTGTCCTGCTTTAGATTCTCCTTGAGGCTGACCTGGTTTCCTGTTGTCCTCAGAGGAGAGGTGGGACGTGGCCTTCAGCCCCTGCCAGGGGGACACAGCTGGGCCGGCTGCCGTGAGGAGGAGTGTCTTCACAACTGCTATATGTTCCCCACAGCAGACAGGGTCGGAGGCCAGCAGCCCTGGGTCCTCTTTCAGAGGGCTGTGGGGGGTCTCAGGAGGAGCATGCTGAGACCCAGCTCTACCTTTGCTTGAGTTTTCTGTGTGCCTTAATGGAAAGAGCCACTCCATGTAGGCTTGAGGTCAGACAGACCTGAATTCAGAGTTCAGTTCAGCCACTTACCAGTTGTGAGATGCTGGACAAATTTTGGTGCTTCTCCAAGCTTTGGTTTGCTCTTCTGTAAAATGGGCCCATGGTCCATCATTAGGGGCATTAAATGAGATGACGCTAAGTACCCAGGACTGAGTGTCTCATAGTAAGTGCTCAAGATGGGAAGCAAACTAGCGCCTACCATGTGTCAGGCCTCTGCCGCGTCTGTATCTTGCTCCCCACGACGTCTCTACGAGACAGACCATGCGGGATCCCCGTTTTACACACGGGTAAGGTCCCTAGACCAGGTTGCACCTGGCCATTCTCCCACAGCCAGGACCAAGCCTAGAGGTGGTAGCATCCTGGGGTCGGTCCCTCACTGTGCTTCTCCACAGGTCCAGAACGTCCACGGAGCTTTCAACGCTCTCGGGGGAGCAGACAGACTCACCTCCAACCGTATGTACCCCATACCCACACTGAGAACAGCTTTCTGCCCCAAGATTCCCAGTGCAGCAGGGAGGGAACGGGGTGGAGAGGGAGGGAACGTTTACCAAGCCCTCGCCGTTAGCCAAGCTGTTAATGCTTCATTCCCACAGCTAGCCTGTGAGGAAGTGGAATTATCCCCATCTCACAGAGAAGGGAAGAAAAGTGACTTGTCGTGGCAGTCCTAGGCACATCATCACTGCTCCATGAATACCGGATGTTATCGTTATTATTATCGTTACTGCCACATAATTGCTGTCAGTTGAGATAATCACCCTAGATCCCACAGGGAGTGGTGACAGAGCCAGAATTCATCCTGGCTCCAAGTGGCACCGTGAGAACAGGGCTGTGGGTGGCTCAGCCAGATCTGGCCACCTGGGCTGCCCCCCACCCCACCCCCTCCTCCTGCTTCAGCCCCTCCCACCCACGAATGGCCCCTCCCTGAGCCTCGTCCCCGCTGGGCTCCCTGGCACCTTGGCCCAGATTAAAGAGCGTGCCACGTCTTTACAGACCCGCAGAAGAGCACACATACCTACACACCTGTGCAGACGCATGTGGGGCCTTGCACAGAACGGGCCTGGGAGGTCTGTCTGCTCAAGCGGATCCACCCACTGGGTTCTGTAGGACAGGTTACCAAGGCTTTTCTTATTGCCTCACCTGAGCTCACCTTTTCACCCATATGTCCTTCATCATTTCTTAAAACACATTCACAGGCAGACCTCGGAGACATGGGATCAGTTCCAGGCCACCTCAGTGAAGTGAAACAAATCACAGGAATTTTTTGGTTTCCCAGTACATAGGAAATTTATGTTTACACTACACTGAAGTCTGTTTAGTGTGCAGTAGCATTATGTCTTTAAAAACAATGTAAATACCTTAATTTAAAAATACTTTATTGCTAAAAAATGCTAACCGTCATCTGACAACACAGGGTTACCACAAACCTTCAATTTGTAAAAAAAAAAAACAAAAAACAAAAAAACACAGTGTCTTTGACGGGCAATAAAGTGAAGCAATGAAACGAGGTGTGCCTGTGCTCTCTACCAGCCTAAGCATGGAATGGAATTGGGATAATCCAAGCAAAAGAGGACTGCCCTCCATGACCTGCCCCAACAAATCAACTTCTCATTTCTCCGTGTCCCTGGGAATCCTTGCCTGTGAGCAGAAGTCATTTTTTCCAAGCAGCTTACCTTCTGAGTTTTGTGCCTGGTGTTATATCATAACCACAGTTCGTGTACAGTTTTTCCACTGGTAATGGAGGCACGGTTGCCCATCTAGCAGCTCTGCTGTGCTTTAAGGCACTATCTTTTCACGGAAAACGTCTGTGGTTTCTACCTTTTCACCATTGCAGTAACGCCTCTGATATTTACAAGACTTGCTTACATTTACCGTATTGTTTCCCAGCTGGGTCCGTACCCACTCATGCTGCTTCCCGCAGCGTGTCAATGTGTAACTGCGCCCCCTGGTTTTCACGCAGATGTCTGATTATACTGGAGGGAGACGATTCTTCGTATGGTGGGGTGTTCATCGTGGTTCTGCGTGCGGGCAGCGTGTTGTCCCAAGGGGCCTGTCCCCACCTACTCGCAATTAGCCTGGACCTCTCAGCTGCCTGATACTGGAAGAAGATCAAGCTAGGAAGGCCCCAGGGTGTGCAAGCTGATGGAGGGTGTGGGCAGAAAACCTTTCCTGCTCCCGGGCTACTGACGAAAGCCATCTCAGGCTGGCTTCAGTGGAAAGAGAGATGCATGAGATGCACCAGACAGCCAGGGTAGAGCGGGCTCTCATTTCCTCAGCTCTCAAGCCTGGTACCCCCCCCAACCCCGTCCCCGCCGCTTGTCCCTCTGCTCCCAGGTCCTCCATGGGGGGCTGCTTCTTGTCATTCAGGTCTCAGCTCAAATGCCACCACCTCAGAGAGACCCTCCCTGACCACCTTTTGTACAATAACCCCCAGGCCTAGCAACACACCTGTTTTTCTTCCTAGCACAGACCACTCTGTTTGAAGATACTGGCAGTGACTCTATTGTACCAAAGGCCTTAAAATTGGTCATTGCCTTTGAGTCATCAATTCTACTTAGAGGAGAGTAAGCTAAGGAAACAAATACGAGAGTGTGCAAGGATTTAGGAAAATAATGGTCGTTTAGGTCATTGTTTATAAGAGTGAAAATGAGCCACAGCGTCAGTGTCTGGCCCCAGGGGCCTGGTTGAGCACACTGTGCATGGCCTTGCCGGGGGGTGAGTGCAGTGACCGTGATGTGTCAGAACCTCGCTGGTGTTCAGGCAGCAAGCAGCTATTGAGCACCTGCTGTGTGCCAGGCGCTGTGCGAGGGGATGTGGCGATGGATAAAACCAATGCCGTAGACCTTACACTGTATCTGCTATGTGCCAGGCGCTGTGTGAGGGGATATGGCGATGGATAAAACCAATGCCATAGACCTTACGCTGTATCTTAGACCTGAAACAGCGTCCATGGTGTTCAGTTCTCAGAAGAAGGTTCAGTACGATCCAATTTTATATTTATGTTTAGGGAAATAGAAATATAAGTATAAATAGAAGTCTAGCAGTGTCTACGTGAGAATGTGAATCTCCGATTTTCTGTGGAGGGTGGCTTTGTGGGTGATATCTTTTTTCTTTACTATCATCTGTGTGTTTTACAGATTTGAACAGAACTATTACAGGTGTGATTTTCATAAGGCATTCACTCTCTCGTTCCTTCAGGTTTTTAACGCGGGGCCGTGGGCATTTGGAACTCCGTATTTCAAGTGTGGTCTCTGTGCTCCTGGCTTAAAATACAGATTCTGAGCCCCACCCCAGACCCACTGAACAGAACCCTTGGGGTGAGGCCCGGGTGTCTGCCTTTTAAATCCTGGGTGGCCCTAGTGCTCCTGAAATCTGAGCACCGGTGGAGTTGAGCAGAGGGATGTTGGGGTCTTCATGGGCTTAGCCCTGAGGCTGCAGGACTTTTCCCAGGTTTTTAGAGGAGTCAGGTCTCAAGAGGGTTCAAGAAACACCACCCTTTCCTTACCAAGACGCAGTGTTGGCAGGAAGAGGCTACGTACGTCCATCTACGTCCCCTACCCTTTCACAGAAGATGAGTCCAAAGACTCAGGACTGACTCAGCCAGGAGACCAGGATTAGAGCCCACAAGCCTGAATTTCTGTGTTGTTTTAGCTGTGTGGTCCCTGACCCGAGATTCTAGAAGGCAACAATAGAGGGGTCTATGAGCTTCTCCCAGCATCCCAGAAGGCCCAAGGGAATATCACCTTTCCCGGGATGCTATATAGCAGCTTCGGGCCAGCATTCTATCAGCCTAGTGTTTGATTCCGGTTACCTCATGCTTATCAGAAGCTGATTCATCTGTTCTTCTATTCATGCCTCTGTCCAGTCAGCCCTCCATCCATTCATTCATTCAGTAAGCATTTGCCACCGTCCACTTCGTACCAGGCCTTGCGCAGGGTTCTAGGGACACAGAGATGAGTAAGGCTCAGTCCCTGCCCTCCGCAGTCTCCCCCATCCAGTGGGGAAGGGGTAAGAGTTACAGTGGAATATGACAGGACCAGGTGGAGGAAGAACTAATCTCCCATTAATTGAAAATGGGGACTGAAATTAATCAGTCATTATAGATAGGTGCAGTTTTTCTGGTTGGTGGATTCTTTTTTAAAACTTGAACCCAGTTTTTTCCCAAAGTAACAGTATTCAAACAGGACGAGAGGGTGCACAACAAAATGTGACCTTTATCAAATCCTGACTCCTGTCCCGCCCCCCACCAGAGGCTAGAACCGCTAATAGTTTCTTGGGCATCTTTTCAGAAAATTCTTCTCTACATTCTTCACGCAGGTAGAGGAGTGAGTCTTCCCTGCCCCCAATACATGGAAACATGTTATTCACCCTGGTCCCTAACTTAGTTCTTTTCACTCAATGATACCCCCTTGGAGAGTGGCCTCTTCCACACCCGCCTCCTCAGCAGCTGCCCTGTGGATGGACATTAGGGTTGTTACTAGAATTGAACATTATATACAGTGCAGGAGAAAAGATCCTGACCAAGGGAGTCTTTTGATTCCTGGTGCCCAAAGGGAGAAATGAAGAGGGGTCGTTTGGTGGTGAAATTGTGCAGACTGAGTACCTCCCCACACCCCGCAATGGCAAGCAGGTTTAGGGTTGAAACGAGCTGCCGGCCGGGCAGTACCCGTCCCCCTGCCTCATGCTGCTGTGTCCTTCCCGCAGCCCTCGCCTCCCACGACTACATCTTGAAGATCGTGCCCACGGTTTACGAGGACAAGAGTGGCAAGCAGCGGTACTCTTATCAGTACACGGTGGCCAACAAGGTACACGGGTGGCAGCTGCGTGCAATCGCGCCCTCTGCTGGCTGAGAGCCGAGGTGACAAGTGTCTGGGCGCGATCTCCTCTGATTCCCTTCAACGGGCCTTTCCTGGAGGGGTGATCTGCCCTGGGTAAAGATGGGAGGCCAGTCTCAGAGTCAAGGGGAGGAAATCGAACCGGGACATAGGGTGTGATCTGTTGGAGAAAGAGCAGGCAGGTGGCCTGTCCCAAAGGTCTAGGGCTTGTAGACATCTCCAGTGCCCTGTATCGGGCCCTGATCATTCAGGCACGGGACCCTGATTGGTTAGCACACAACGGATGCCCTGGCTCGTGGGGCACAAGCTCGTTATTCAGAATCATGAGGCTCTGGAATTACACCAGATGGCTGTTGGTTAACAGGTATGTCCCAGGACCCCAATACTCAAATTCACGGAGATGCAGGCAGGCCTTGGTGGGAAGCAGAGCACAGTCAGAGCCAGCAGAATGGGGTGACAGACAGTGGTTTCAAGCCAAGACAGCCTCAGTCTCCCTAGAGATGACCCTGCCATGGGACATGAATGCTTGAAGCCCGTGGGTTGAGGCACCCCCAATAGACCCCTTTACACCAGGACTCTCCTCCTTTTTCTGTTCCAGGATCACCCAGACCCCTTAAGATGATATATTGTTTGGCTCTAATAATAATAATAGTAAGCACAGTAGCCATCATTTATGGATTACTTACCATGGGCTGCACATTATGCTAAGCTCTCTACCTCCACCATCTTTTTCAGTCATCGAGGCAGCTCTGACATTGGGACTATTATTGTCCCCATTTTACAGATTTGGCCACTGAGGCACTGAGAGGTGGTCCTGGAGCTATAACATGGCTGAATGGGGATGAGAACCAGCTTCTCCTCCAGCTCCAAAACCTGGTCTCTTGATCACATCACCTGTTCAGTCTGAACCAGGGGCCTCTGAGTCTGCCAGGCTGGGAGCTACTCTCTCTTGGGTGACTTGGGGTCCCTCTACTCTGCTCCACCTACACTGATGCTCTGGTGTATCTCTCCGAGGCAGAGGGGTCCTGTTCCTTGGAGGGCATCTCACTGGAACCCTCAAGTGCTGACAGCATCTGACAAATGGGAGAAAGTGGAGGCAGTGTGAACAGAAAGCGTGTGGGCTGTGGAGAAAACTTCCGTTTCAAACCTGGCTCGGTCACTCACTAGCTCTGTCACCTGGGACAAGTCACATAACCGCTCTGTGCCTCAGTTTACTCATTTGTAAAATGG